TTAGGGCTGTTGTACATAGGGTCGCTATGAGTCGCAAGCGACTTGACGGCACATAACAGCAACAACAACAACTGTCATAAAATGGTAAAGAAAGTGTCACACACAGAAAACAGCATTATTTCATGATTCTCTGACAAGTAAGGGAGAAAAACCTATAGATAGATAATAGACATATATTAAGATCAGCAAGGATGATGACAATTTAAAAAGAAAACAAATAAATGTTGGATGATCCTACTTACAGGATATATCTAGAATAATCAAGTATACTGTATGTCTCTCTCTTTATCTCTCATTGCCATCAAATCTAAACCATCTTGCAGCTGATTCTTCAGAGGTTTTCAGAGGCTATAAATCATGTAGGAGAAGATGACCTATCCTTCTCTTTCTGAACAGCTGAATATAATTAGTTAGTTGCTGAAACATGCAAGATAAAGAAGGAAACAATGAGATTCCATCAAGGGTGCTAGAAAATTTTGGGAAGAGATCAGACTGATAGTTACAGATGATGAACTTAACTAGAACAACTTGAACTATACTTGTTTGTGCCAATTATTAAATGACAGATGTTACAAGTATTCAATTTTCAAAAGTTTGTTTTGGAAAACAATGTATTTAAATTTTGTAAACAAACTAGTATAATTTTAAAAAAGTGACTTAAGTGAAACTTAGAAAAAGCAGGCACAGTGGAAAGATCCCCACCAGACTACCCTTAAGAACTGAGAAGGCTGCTGGTTACTGAAAAGTGGGCCTTGACCCCTCCACTCCACAGGGGATAGAGAGAGTGCAGCTTCCTGCAGAGGGGAAGGTGGTTTCTATCTGTTGTACTTACCAGCATCACCAAAGACATTTGCAAACTTTAGAAGAGGCAGATACAGACTAGAGAGATCCCCAGCAGGCTAAAGTGCAAGAACTTAGAATGCAGCCGAATAGAAGTAAGGTCTTTGAGCTCCTCGACCACACATGGGATAGAAAGAGTATCGTTACGTAGCAGGGGAAGATGATCTCTGTCTGTTTTGTGCACTAGCATCACCAAGGACAATTACAAACTTTAAAAGAGGCAGGGAGCACTCAGGCAAGATAACACAAGGTAATCCAGAGAGAAGGACTTTAGGAAAGGCAAGTTTTTGCATTGCAAAGATCTAGAAAAGACTAATGGCACAAAGAGTTTCTTTACGCATAAAGAGAAAATTTTAAATATGAAACTAATAAATAACATCTTAATGATAAAGAACTTGCAACAATCTATGTAGGAACAATAGAAATGGCCTAAAACATACGAAGAAAAACTTCACATAAAGTAAAAAAAGCAGCTGGAAGCTTCAAATACTATGAAAAACAAAACAAGCCTTCTCCTAAAAAAAGCAGAGCATATTGCAGACCCAGTGAATACCCCAGAGACGGTGAACCAGAAAAAATATATTGAAGTGTAGTTATACAAACAACTACAGAAATTACAAATGATGAAAGAAAGAATGGTATACCTAAATAAAATGAATACTCCTGAGATGCAATGCAGATGACAACCTAGCTTGCTGAAACTGAGGAATATCTGAAGTGCTTGAGGCAGAAGGTCACAAAGTCTGTAGCCTTAAATATAGGTTGAAGCTCAACATCAAGAAAACAAAGATTCTTACCATTGAGCTGACTGGTAGCAACATGAAAGACAATG